TCCTCCTCCTTCCCAGAGGTCAGTGGGTAGAGCTGAAAGTTCCCGCCCTCTAATCACTTGGTCTTTCTGGTGACCAGCCCCCTCCTGAGGCTAACAACCCCACTCTAAGTGGGGTTCATCTCATTAGCATAAACTCAGGTAATCGGAAAAGGTTTGTTATGAGTAACAAAAGATGCTCTATCACTCAGGAAATTCTAAGTGTTTTAGAAACTCTGCCAGTGTACGAAGCTCAAACATAGATATTTGACTATACCAGAGGAAAAGGTATGCTGTAGCACAAAACATCCTCAAGAAGATGTTCACATTCAAATTAAATACAAATAATTATGCACACTGACCTGCTGGTTGAAATAAAAAAATAATTAGATGTGATTGGTTCTGTTTTATATTTTATTTTTCTGAGACAGGGTCTGGCTCTGTTGCCCAGGCTGGCGTACAGTGATGTGATCTCCTCTCACTGCAACCTCCACCTCCTGGGCTCAAGCAATCCTCCCATCTCAGCCTCCAGAGTAGCTGGGACTACAGGCACATGCCACCACACCAGTTAACTTTTATATTTTTTATAGAGATGGGGTTTTGCCATGTTGCCCAGGCTGGAGATGTGATTGGTTTTAAATAGGTATTACCTTTGTTTTAAAAAAATTTCACTGTAAGTTTTACAATTTAATTGTTAATAACAGGTTAACTGCAAGAAATAAAAATAAAATTCTAGGCCCCAGCTGACTGAATGGATACTCTCTTGACCAAGGGAACCCCAGAGAAACGTTGGAAGACTGAATGAATATCTAGGCTGGTCTCAAACTCCTGGGGTCAAGCAATCCACCTGCCTTGGCCTCCCAGTGTTGGGATTACAGGCCTGGCCACCTTCCCTGGCTTGACTATTGTTTATCTACGCACAGGTCTTAGCAGAATTCAGACCCCTCCTGTAATTCGAACTTTGTGGTCTTTTATTAGTTTTACAAAGGTGACTTCCATCCCCAGATAAGTGTGTGTGTGGGGGGGTAGTTTTGGGAAGGGACTATTGTTGTCTTTCTTTCTTTGTTTTAGAGACTGGGGTTTCTCCATGTTGGTCAGGCTGATCTCAAACTCCCGACCTCAGGTGATCTGCCTGTCTCAGCCTCCCAAAGTGCTGGGACTGTAGGCATGAGCCACCGGGCCCGGTCAGGTTTCACTTTTTATTAAAATGAAATAACATGTCCCTGAGCACCTGCCTATTACCTTTGTTTTAAGGTTAAACTGCACACTAAACTCCTTTCATGGAAAGCCTGGAATGAGTAAAGACTAGAAGCAAGATGGAATCAGTTATGTCTCTCACTGTCATAATTTTTGCAAGGGCAGTTTCAGTAAGGTCTGTTTAGAGCACCTAGCTATTGGCAGCCACTCTGGTGGTGTACATGGTGAAAAACGACAGTGACAATAATGGTAATGGTGGTAGTGATGAAGACAGTGATGACCACGGCGATGAATCGGCCCATCCCACTGGGCAGCACTGCACTGGTGAGGGATGTCGCCTCCCCCACTCCCCGCCCCTATATCCAGAACCTTTTCTTTTATAGCCCTCCCAACTCCAGGACAGTCTTCCTGTGGGGAGACGGGAGGTCATCACTGTTTGCAAGGGAAACCTTTGAGCAGAGTGAGATGGAAACAGTGAGGACTTCTATGCTCACCTACAGAAAGAATGCCCTGCAGTAATATGAGGACGTTGCAGAATAAGTATGTAGCAGAATGAGTAGCCGCGGAATGAGGATGGTTCTAAGCCCTCTCCAGTCTCTGAACAAATTATTCCAGTTGAGTTGCACTGTCAGCGATACCATTTGCTGTAACAGAACTTATAGTCAGTGTCTCCAGTATACGACTCAGTGCATGTGGGCACAGAGCAGATCTGGGAGAGTCCCGTCAAGCCCATGGCTCACTCAATGGATGATGCTTTACTGAGAACCTGTGATGTGCCTCGATCTAGCTGGTGTTCTGAGGACCTTGAGAGGATCCCTCTCAGGGATGGTTACCAAGGAGCTCCTGGTCTCTGGAAGAAGCAGACACACCTTCAAACAATTACAACACCATGCTGTGGGCGGGGACCAAGAGAAGAGTGGCGACCCCACCTGGAGGAGTGAGCCACCATGCCTGGCTTGTGTAGTAAATTTCTGTTCAACTCTGTTGGCTTATCCATTTCTTTATACATATGCAGACATCCAGAAAGTAACTTTAAGCTCTGGTTAGTATCCAATACTGCAGTCTTTTGTTGCTCAGGAATTCAGGCCTGGTTTGGCAACTGGGAGCTCTTTCCATTGGCTCCTGTTCTTTGATTTTTTTCTTTCATTTTGAGATGGAGTTTTGCTTTTGTTACCAGGCCAGAGTGCAATGGCATGGTCTCGGCTCATTGCAACCTCCACCTGCCAGGTTCAAGCAATTCTCCTGCCTCAGTCTCCTGAGTAGCCGGGATTACAGGTGCCTGCCACCATGCCCAGCTGATTTTTTTGTGTTTTTAGTAGAGATGGGGTTTCACCATGTTGGTCAGTTAGAGGTCTAGAACTCCTGACCTCAGGTGATTCACCTTCCTGAGCCTCCCAAAATGCTGGGATCACAGGCCTGAGCTACTGTACCCAGCCATTGGCTCCTGTTTTACTTTGACTTAATGAAGCAACATTGTTCATCTGGGGTAATACCCGAGGTTTGTCACCTCAGGCCCAGGAAATCAAGGATGTGGACATACACGGAGCGAAGTTAAGAGCAGAGGTTTGACAGGTGAAAGAAGGAGAGACTGGCTTGGGGAGGCGGGGTCTGATTTACGCAGGGCCCAAAGATTGTTTGGACCAGGGGTGACATTTACATAGCACAGGAAGAAGCTGGCTACCCCACCCTAATCTTATTACACAAATGAATTTTCTACTCAGCCGCTGCCATGTTGTCTGCTCCTTACCTTACACGTGGTTGACAAGGAAAAGGGAAGATGGAGCCGCCATGTTGAACATGCCCAGCCCCCAGGTAGCCCTTTCCTATTGGCGCAGCTGCTGGCATTCACCCGTGTGAGCTCCCAGCTTGCTCGTCTGTTATCTGCAGCTCGATTTTATAGGCTGCTCTTTGTTAGAAAAGAAATGATTTTGGGGCTGCTTTTCATTAAAAGGGAAACCTTACTGAGGACTTCCTTACTCTCACTGCCTGCCTAGATAACTTCTTTTTAACTCCTTTTAAAATTTTTATTTATTATTATTATTAATTGGTAATATTACCAATTTGCTCAATTACGTTCTGTTACAAGGTAGAGATATTACTGAATTTATGCAAATAACTATGTAGCCACGAAACTAAGAGTATCCAATAAGAGTTTCTAAATTCTGGAGGGATCAGGCAGGGAGAAAAAGATAAGTATTTCATTTCTGTTTATAAAAGTATAGTCTCCCAAAGTGTTATAAGATATAGTTAGCTTAAGAGAAAAGGCTTCTTTAAATCCAGAAAATAGAACATTAAAGAACCAGCAATATCTGGGTGTGGTGGCGCATGATCTCAATTACTCAGGCAGCTGAGGTGGGAGGATGCTTCAATCCAGGAGTTCAAAACTGGTGTGGACAACATAGTGTGGACTCCATCTCTACCCCACCAAAAACAAAACAAAACAAAAAAAAAGCCGGGCGTGGTGGCATGTGCCTGTATTCCTAGCTACTTGGGAGGCTGGGGCAGAAGGATTGCCTGAGCCCAAAAATTCAAGGTTGCAGCGAGCTATGATGGCACCACTGTACTCCAGCCTGGGACACAGAGCAAAATGCTGACTATAATAATAAGAGGCCAGGCAAGGTGGCTCATGCCTGTAATCCCAGCACTTTGGGAGGCCAAGGTGGACGGATTGCTTGAGGTCAGGAGTTCGAGACCAGCCTGGCCAACATGGTGAAATGCCAGTCTCTACTGAAAATACAAAAATTAGCCAGGTGTGGAGGCACGCACCTGTAGTCCCAGCTACTGGGGAGGCTGAGGCAGGAGAGTGGCTTGAACCTGGGAGGTGGAGGTTGCAGTGAGCCGAGATCACACCACAGCACTCCAGCCCGGGCAACAGAGTGAGACTCCATCAAAAGCCAAAAAACCAAAAAACAACCCCAACCCAAAAGATGTAAATTGGCTAAGGTTAAGATCTGATGAAAGTTCATTATAATGCAACTGGCAAGGAAATTTGGTTGTTTCTGTGGCATACAACATTGAAAATACTAAGTAGCATTATGACTGATAACATTACACTGGGACATATCTTGGATAGGGAGGATGTTGACAAACTTCCAGGAACTTGACAGCTTCTGAAACAATAACATTTTACTAATTCAAATATAACCTAGAGAATATTATTATGTCTCTCTCTCTCTCTCTCTCTCTCTCTCTCTCTCTCTCTCTCTCTCTCTCTCTCTCTCTCTGTCTCTCGTTGTCTGCCTCCCAGGTTGGAGTGCAGTGGCCTAATCAGGGCTTACTGCAGCCTCCACCTCCTGGGCTCAGGTGATCCTCCCATTTCAGCATCCCTAGCAGCTGGGACTGCAGGTGTGCACCATCACGCCCAGCTACTGTGTGTGTGTGTGTGTGTAAAACAAGTTTATTAGAAAGTAAAGAAACAAAAGAATGACTACTTCATAGGCAAAGCAGGCTAATTTTTGTATTTTTTGTAGAGATGGGTTGGTTGTGGGGTGGGGGGTGTCCAGACTGGTCTCAAACTCCTGGGCTCAAGCAGTTCTCCTACCTTGGCCGCCCAGGGTGCTGGGACTAAGGTCTGAGCCACTGCGCCTGGCTGAGTAGTTGTCGTCTGACTTTGCTTTCCATGTTATTCTAACTTCAGAATTTTTATAGCTTTGTATGTTAAATTTAAGTCAATGGACCATTTTGAATGAATGTTTTGTGAAACTTGTAAAACTTAGATCCACATTCATTTCATTCCAATTAATTGTTCCTTTAACTTTATTACTTTTTAAAAATTTTTAAAAAATATTTTGTTTCTTTTTTCCTTTACCATTTTTGAGAAAGACACAGGATAGCGGGCCCCGTTTTAATTTGAACGTCCAAAATCATGGCATTGAAGAATCTGCACACTGAATTTAATCAATTCAGCCACTCAGCCAGGAGAGGGCACGCGACCACCGCTAACAGTGAGCGAGCGCCGAGGGCCCCGCGCTGCCCCAGAAGACCAGCAGAGGGCGTGCGAGCTGCCTTGTTGGACCCCTGAGAAGCCCCGACCGCCTCCGTGCTCCTCCTATGGCCGCCAGCGCCGCGCCCGCAAGGAGGACGAGAACCTCATTTCCCTCACCGCAGATCTAAGGGGACACCGCCTCACTTTGGGACAACCTGAGGCTGCGTCAATGGTGAGTAAAATCCTTCCTGTCACAGTCCTGACTACTGAGGAGCAGTCGGTCTTCAGAGTCCCCGGTAGAGGAAGGGCTTCATGCGGAATCTCGGAAATAAAAACCCTGGTTCCCACCACACACGAGGTGACACGGTGGCTGCTGGTGTCATGTCTCGCAGCGCTTTCGATGCTAACATGACATTCAGAGGCTTACCAGGGAGACTGGTTTCCTAACGGCGGCTGAACTGGATTTGAGGCAGGCTTCGCCTCCGGAAGGAAGTTTGATGTTCCCTCTGCTTTACTGACCTGGTATTGACATGGTTGTTTTATTTATTTATTGTTATTTTTTCCTAGAAACAGGGTCTCTCTGTGTTGTCCAGGCTGGTCTCCAAATCTTGACCTCGAGTGATCCTCCCGCCCCAGCCTTCCAAAGTGCTGGGATTACAGGCGTGAGCCACCATGCCCAGCTTCATTGCATTTCTTATTAATCTCTTAAGAGCAAATGAATTCCCATAAATCCTGTCAGGGAATGTTTACATGAATTTCAGTGTGGTAACCACATTCCTTCTCTGAAGTAATACTTTTCACAACACACTGCATAAGTAACATCTGTAGAACGTCTTTTTAAAATCGAATATAAATAATATTTCAGAAGCCTGTTCTAACATGACTACAAACACTTCACTCCATTCATTTCTTCCTTACACGGAAGTTACACTGTTCATGGCACACTTTGTAAGGAGCGTTTTAAGAATTTCTTCTACTTATTCCTGGGATTACAGGCGTGAGCCACCGGGCCTGGCTAGAATCGTCTTTTAAACAATGTCTACCCAATTAATCAATAGAATCCTATCCTGCCTTCAGCATTGCTACAACAGATAGGTAGAGAGAGTCCTCAATCACTGCAGCAAATGGACTAACACGAGGAGCCTTTCATTCAGACGCTTTATGAGCCAGTTCGAGAAGCTGGGGGTCAAGGAGGAAGAGGTGGCAGTGGCCGTGGAGGAACTGCGGAAGCTGGAAGCGGTCAGCCGAATTGCATTCAAGTAACGCCGGGGAAAAGCAGCTATACAAAGTCAAAGGCGGCGGGATTTTCTGAAGGACTTAGAATACAAGCCCATTGCTTGTGAGAAGGAGAACCTGGCTGCCATTTTTCTTCTGCTGCAGAACTTTGATGATTGAAAGGGACCTTTTGTATCTCACACTTCACACCAGCATTACACTGACCTTGTTCATTGCATTGTCTGGGTTCATAGGCTCATAGCCACGGTACTTGCTTTAAAGTAGTAGATGGTTGGAGGTGGGGAGGGAGGGATCTAGGATACAGGGCAGGGACAAATACAGTGCATGTCTGCCTCAATTAGCAGATGCCACAACTCCACAGTGTGTAAAATATTATACAACCAAAAATCAGCTTCTTCAGGTTTTTATTCCTTTTATAAAACAGTAGCTTTACTTTGGTTTTGGCTGGGTGCAGTAGCTCATGCCTTTAATCCCATTGCCTTAGAAGGCCAAGGCAGGAGAACCGCTTGAGCCCAGGAGTTCGAGACCAGCCTGGGCAACACGGTGAAACACCATCTCTATTATTAAAATAAATACCTAAAAAGAAATAACATGAAATAATGGCCTTTCTTACACACTAATTTGTTTTTGTTTTGTTTTTTTTTTGAGATGGACTTTTGCTCTTGTTGCCCAGGCTGGAGTGCAGTGGCATGATCCCTGTTCATTGCAACCTCCGCCTCTTGGGTTCAAGTGATTCTCCTGACTCAGCCTCCCAGGTAGCTGGGATTATAGGCATGGGCCACCACACCTGATTTATTTTGCAGTTTTAGTAGAAATGGGGTTTCACCATGTTGGTCAGCCTGGACTCGAACTCCTAACCTTAGGTGATCCACCTGCTTCAGCCTCCCAAAGTACTGAGATTACAGGTGTGAGCCCCCACGCCCAGCCCATGTTAATTTTATACTTAGTTTTGAAACAGCAACAATTAACCATCAATGATTTCGTATTTCTGTTTCTAGGTGCTACCAAAAATTTTTAATTTTACCCAGCCAGTGTTGCCGTGAAACAGACTCTGTAAATTCTAGGTAGCAAAGATTCTTTCTGATACCAAAATTAAGTCAAAGAAATATAAAGCAGGGTACTGCCCGAAATTTCTGAATCTAGTTCACTAAAAAGAGTGAAACCCAGAGAAAGTCACCTACTGGTTTTTTGTTTTGGTTTGTAAAATTTTTGAGAGAACATCTTGCTCTGTTACGTAAGTCTGAGATGCAGTGGGGCTATCACAGCTCACTGTAACCTCAAGCTCCTGGGCTCAAGCGACCCTCCTTCCTCAGCATCTCGAGTAGCTGGAATTACAGGTATACCACCATGCCCAGCTAATTTTTATTATTTTTCAGATGGGGAGTGCAGTGGCACAATCCTGGCTCACTGTAACTTCCACCTCCTGGGTTCAAGTGATTCTCCTGCCTCAGCCTCCAAAGTAGCTGGGATTACAGGCAGGTGCCATCACACCCGGCTAATTTTTTTTTTTTTTTTTTTGAGATGGTGTCTCACTCTGTCAGGTTCAAGCAATTCTCCTGCCTCAGCCTCCTGAGTAGCTGGGATTACAAGCCCTGCTCCCCCCGCCCAGCTGAGTTTTATATTTTTAGTAGAGATGGGGTTTCACCATATTGGCCAGGCTGGTCTCAAACTCCTGACCTCAGGTGATCCACTCACCTTGGCCTCCCAAAGTGCTGGGATTACAGGCATGAGCCCCACACCCGGCCTATTTTTTGTATTTTTAGTAGAGACGGGGTTTCACCATGTTGGCCAGGCTGGTCTTGAATTCCTGATCTCAGGTGATCTGACCACCCAGCCTCCCTAAATGCTGGGATTACAGGTGCCACCTGTAATATTAAAAATTTTTTTTTGTAGAGACAGGGGTCCACCTTATTTATTTTTTATTTTTTGGAAGAGACGGTCTCACTGTGTTGCCCAGGCTGGCCTTGAACTCCTGGGCTCAAGCAATCCACCCCCCTTGTCTCCCAGAGTGCTAGGATTACAGCTGTGAGCCACTGCACCGAGACAGTTCTGTGTTAAATACTTCGGGTGGGAGGGGAGAAACGGAGGCTTTTCTTTCTTTCTTTTTAATTTTTTAATAACATGCATACTCATTGAGAGGAAGCTTTTCTTAAAATGAAAATAATTACTATTTAAAAATTTCATTTTTTATGACGACATCTTGCTCTAGATATTTTTAACTTCTTGATCATTGAATGTGAGACCCTTCTAACATGATGAGACCTCAAGGTGTAGGCTATGAAGATGGGAAAAGGCCATCCGTCACTCTGGCTTCTTCCTGCCGACAGAGGGCAGAGAGGGAACGGTGAGAAAGCGCAGCTGCTTTGCAGTTGTCTGAGTTACATGCAGGCCTGGCTGAGCTTCCCAGGCATTAGTACTCTCACCTCTGCTTTTAGTCCAGGACCTATGTGAACAGTATACTATAAGGTAAACAGCGAGTCCCAGGATGAGGAGTACAGTTTCCAAGTTTAAAAGCAGACTGGAAAGCGTCTGTCTGGGGACTTTCAACACATAAAGCATTTAGAATTGAGTCTAAACTGCAGGGAAAACCCTGAAGAACAGCTAACAACAGTGGACTATAGTTTTTCTTCTGAAGCATAATTTTTCTCTCTCTAGTCCCTGTTTTTATTAAAAACGAATCCTGATGGAACTGATTTGCTCACAAAATAAACTTCAGTCTTACTGTACTTGGCCTGATTACCTGCTGGGTTGTCGAGGGATTTTCCAAAGACAAGCGTTTTCGGGAGTGACTCGGGTGTCACTGACCAAAATGTCACGCTTCTTTTTGACTAGTTAAAAATAGTTTTAGGATAAAGTTGATCTGGGAATGTGGGGATCTGCAGCCAAATAGGTTAGGGTCCGTCTTAGGGAAACTCTGTCTTAGGGTAACTGTCTTAGGGCAACTCTGTCTTAGGGTAACTGTGTCTTAGGGCAACTCTGTCTTAGGGTAACTGTCTTAGGGCAACTCTGTCTTAGGGTAACTGTCTTAGGGTAACTTAGGGCAACTCTGTCTTTAGGGTAACTCTGTCTTAGGGTAACTGTCTTACGGTAACTCTGTCTTAGGGTAACTGTCTTAGGGTAACTCTGTCTTAGGGTAACTTAGGGCAACTCTGTCTTTAGGGTAACTCTGTTTTAGGGTAACTGTCTTAGGGTAACTCTGTCTTAGGGTAACTTAGGGCAACTCTGTCTTTAGGGTAACTCTGTTTTAGGGTAACTGTCTTACGGTAACTCTGTCTTAGGGTAACTTAGGGCAACTCTGTCTTTAGGGTAACTGTCTTAGGGTAACTCTGTCTTAGGGTAACTGTCTTAGGGTAACTCTGTCTTAGGGTAACTGTCTTAGGGTAACTCTGTCTTAGGGTAACTGTCTTAGGGTAACTCTGTCTTAGGGTAACTGTCTTAGGGTAACTCTGTCTTAGGGTAACTGTCTTAGGGTAACTCTGTCTTAGGGTAACTTAGGGCAACTCTGTCTTTAGGGTAACTCTGTCTTAGGGTAACTGTCTTAGGGTAACTCTGTCTTAGGGTAACTGTCTTAGGGCAACTCTGTCTTAGGGTAACTCTGTCTTAGGGTAACTGTCTTAGGGTAACTGTCTTAGGGTAACTCTGTCTTAGGGTAACTCTGTCTTAGGGTAACTGTCTTAGGGTAACTGTCTTAGGGTAACTGTCTTAGGGTAGCTCTGTCTTAGGGTAACTGTCTTAGGGTAACTCTGTCTTAGGGTAACTGTCTTAGGGTAACTCTGTCTTAGGGTAAGTGTCTTAAGGTAACTCTGTCTTAGGGTAACTGTCTTAGGGTAACTCTGTCTTAGGGTAACTCTGTCAGGGTAACTCTGTCTTAGGGTAACTCTGTCTTATGGTAACTGTCTTAGGGTAACTCTGTCTTAGGGTAACTGTCTTAGGGTAACTCTGTCTTAGGGTAACTGTCTTAGGGTAACTCTGTCTTAGGGTAACTCTGTCTTAGGG